GGGCGGCAGAGTATGAGAGAAGCGACAGTGAGGGATAGGCGCAGAGGGAACGCCTGTCCTCCCACGCAGCGCAGCCACTGGGTCTGGGGTGGGTCTGGGGCGGCGGCGCACTCCCAGAAGAGGGCGGTCACGTGCTCGCCGAGCGGGTGGCGCAGGAAGCGCCGCACGTTCGCCAGATACTCTCCGGTCACGTCGGGGTGGTCCGGCGAGGCCCAGCCGTAGGTCAGCCCGGCGACTTCGCGGCTCAGCGAACGCAGCGCCGCAACAGCCTCCTCTGGCGTGAGGAAGACTTGAATGCCTCGCTCCGCCTCCATCTGCTCCAGCCCTTGCCGGCGGAGGAGCTCGGGCAGCACCGCCTCGGAGCCGTCGGCGCGCAGGAACTCGGCGCGGAGCAGCTTGATGGCGCCGGAGCGGAGGGCGGCGACGAGCGCCTCGTCGAGGGCCGCCAGCAGCGGGATGCCCTTGTGGTCGGCGGCGGTGAGCTTGGGCAGCGGGGAGGAGATGGGCAGCATGCAGTGCGCGGGCGCGACCTCGACAAAGCTGTACTCGGCGTCGTCGCCGCTCTCGGCGAGGCGCCACTCGCCTAGACACTTCCTAGACACGTCCTCGACACTTCCTGGACACGTTCTACCTAGGAGGCGCCACTCGCCCTGCACGCGACGCCCATGGAGCGTCACCGTGCGCGCGCTGCGCGGGTGCACGATGCGGCACGCCGAGCGGAAGCCCGGCGCCTTGTATCCCGAGCGCCCCATGTGCTGCCCGGGCGTCGTCTGGCAGAAGCCGCCGTCCGGCGGGAGGTGGACGGTCGCGTTGAAAAAGTCGGCGCCGAGCACGCAGCGGTCCTCGCCGCTGCCGAGCGCCGCCTCGAGCCGCTGCGCGATCGCGCGCGGGTAAAAGTCGATGCACCGCCGCACAGGGTCGAGCGACGCCCACAGGACGGCGCAGTCGGCGGGCACGCTGTCCTCGTGAAAGCTTGAGGCGCTCAGCTGCTCTGAGAGCTCGGCACCGGCGCCGTCGGACGTTTCCGCCTCATCGTCGCTAACGGTGCTGTCCTCCAAGCGGGCGATCCCCACAAGGTTGGACATGTTTCACACCAAAGAGGCGCCGATCCCCAATATTCTTTTTTATTTTATTTTCTCGAGGTTCTCGAGGTGGATATCCTTTGGCCGCGTTGGGTAGCGAGGATTTTATTTTAGCTAGACTTCGTTGTTTATAGGAACAAGCGAAGGCACACACGACATGACGCCAAACACACGATTGCACGCACCGCACCGCACCTCGCACCCGCGCCCGCCGCCCCCCCGACCCCCGCCCCGCCTAGGTGGGAAAGAGATGAGGAGATGGGCCAGCGAAGGAGGAGCCCAAACACGTATGGGAGGTTTCGTTGATGCGCCACGCTGCCCGGCGTCGCTCACTTGTTTTTTTATTCTTTCTTTTTGGAGCTAGCCTTCAGGATGAAACTACTGCTACTAACGCGAGGCGGACATGGCATATCGCTCTCGGGCACACAGACATCCCGCACACCCGCCGCCCCCGCGCGCGCCCCACGCCCCCACCCCGGCCGGGAGAAAGGGGAGTGTTTGGGATGGACAGCCGTGCGCGGCCATCAGGAGGTCTGCCCAGGCGTGACCTGGGCTCCGCATGACCGCCGCCGCCAAGAGCGCCGCGAGCGTCGAGGAGAGCTGTGCCGCCACAGCCAAGTTTCGGGAAAGGAACAAGAACCTAATATATTGGGTGAGTGTGCCGCCTCAGTTATGCAAAATAGTAAAGTCGAAATCACAAATGTTAAAGATACAAAACGCGTTGATGTGCGTGACGTCGTTATGGCTTTGTGTGTCCATTTGGAGCACTTGGAGCACTTGGAGTGCAGTCATTTGCCTCACATCCAGGGCCGGGGAGCTAAGAAGCGCACCCAGCGGGCCGGATGATCGGGATCGGGTTGCGGGCAAGAGAGCCCTAGCCCCGGGGGTGCGCGTTCGCAGGGCAAGGGCCTGCTTCCCGCTGGTTGGGCAACGGATGCGGGGCCCGGCTCCCCCTCCTAGCCTTTTTCGGCCGCGGCCCCGCCGCCGTCTCGCCCTCTCTGCCTGCTCCTGTTGACTCCGGCTCCGGCGATCCCGTGCCCGACTCCTCGGACGAGGGCGGCGGCATTGGATCGCCACGCCGCCCCTCCCCGGGAAGTGGGGCCAGCTCTCTTCGGTCGAGGACTCGCGCCCGCCCCCGCGGTCTCTCTATCGTCCTCGGTTCGTCCGTACGTCCTGACTCTACTCGCAGAAATGAAAGTACAGACCCCCTATCCGTCCGTCCGAAGACCCAAGCGAGCGACCCGAATATAATCAAAATGGCGAGCTCGAGCCACGCCGAGATCGCCGACGTGCTGACCCGCGCCATCCACACCGTCTTCTCCGAGTGGACCGCTCTCGGGATGGCCGTCGAGAACGAGTGGGGCGGCCGCAACACACGCGACAAGAACCTGGTTTGTGGAGCTCCCGCAGATGTCTAGACAGTCCTGAGCCTGTCCAGACAGTGTCCAGACAGCGTCCAGACAGTGTCCAGACAGCGTCCAGACAGCGTGTCCAGACAGCGTCCAGACAGCGTCCAGACAGTGGCACATGGCTCCACTCTTCACAGTAAAGTCTCGTAGTCGTGGCTGGACGACCCCTGACAGCACCCCTGGCGCTGCCGAGGCCACTCCCCACCCACCCACCCACCCACCCATCCGCATGCCGCTTTCTTTACTTGCCATTGAGGGGGGGGGGGCGTCTAGACAGCAGAACTTCAGAGAACTTGAGAACTTGAAGTTTGAACTTGAAGTTTTGTCTTGACAGCTGTCTAGACAGGCCCTCTTCACAGAAGGGTCCCCCAAAGTGCCCGCGAAGAACTCGGGCAGAGCGGCAACTGTGGCGGCAACTGTGGGGGGCAACGCCAACGTCGCAACGATGCTGCGGAAAGGGCAGAGCAAGCGTGGGCACGCATTGGTCGGGTTCCATGCTGCAGCCGCGAGCCCCGCGCCGCAGCCGATGAAGAAGCTGCGGGCCGGCAGTAGCCACGTCGACCCGCCGCTGCGCATCGGGCAAAGCGCGAGCCCAGCAGTTCAGTCAGGCACGCACGCTGCACCCACGACGGCGGCCTCGGGGCGCGCGCGACCGAACGCGCTGCGGCGCCGCCACGTCGTCCTTTCACATCGCCGCCGGACCGCCCTCCCTCCTCCGCGACAGACGCCGCAAAGACGGCGCTTCTCGCCGCCCAAGCAACAGCAGCAGCTGTGGCAGCGAATCTTTGCGTCGCTGGTGCGCACGCGGTGCGGACTCGCCACAGTCTGGCGGGCGCTCGCCTCGCCCGGACGCTATGATGTATCTTATTCCGGGGCCGGTGTGCGGGGAGCGAACCTTAACGACCGCCCAGAAGCTTTCTGAGCGAACCAATCGGGCCAGGATCATCAGCATATGTTCCCTCCACAACATCGTGGGCGTTTGAGCGGTATTTGAGGAGCACCGCGACTCTGAAGTTCGGCCGGGTGGTCTGCAGACCCCCCCCCCGGAGCAGCAGAGGCTCCGTGGGGTCGCAAAGTCGACGCTGGGAGTCGCACTCGTCAAACCATCGCAGCACCACGCGGTCCGCACGTACCGCCCACATCCCCTCCACCGCTCAGAAGGCGCAGATCGACCGCCGGGCCGCGTAGTCGTCGTTAAGGAGCGGTTTTTGGAGACGTACGAAGAGGTCCCAGACGGGCGAACATGCGGTTTTTCGATGACCACGCGCGATGTGGTATCTGCTTTTTGCTAAAAACGGGCCGCCTAGTGCAGCATCACTAGTACAACACGCAACCACACTGAGAGCTCCACACTAGCCGGTATAGGCGAGCCCCGGCGGCCTCACCGTCGCCGCTCGCGGCGGAGCCGACGGCGGAGCCACACGGGCCGGTGCGACCTTTTGGGGGGACATGAGCTCGCCAGGACGTCGCCGATGGCTCGGCGAGCCTCTTCCCGCCACAGCGCGGGACGGCCTACCACAGGAGGGAGGGGGAGGAAGACGGAACTGAGCACTAGGTTCGTGATCCCGTCGCCGGCAACGGCTGGGAGAGGGGCGGCAAGCGACGGGTGGGTCCGCGACCTTTTGAGCGCCATTGAGCTCGCCCCAAGCTACAGAACATGTGCGGGCCAGCGCCTATGATCGGATTATTACTGATATGTACGCCCGAAAGTCTACGTCCAACAGCAGAGGCCCCTGGCTGGCATAGTGGGTTGGTTGACCGCTCCACCACCAGCTGGCTCCTCGTTCGAACCCCGTTTGTTGCATCTGTCAATTCATCCCTCCACGCGCGCTCACGCCACGCCCCACGCCCCTCACTGCCCTCAGCCCGCAGCCCGCAGCCCGCAGCCCGCAGCCCGCAGCCCGCTGCCCGCTGCCCGCTGCCCGCTGCCCGCTGCCCGCTGCACTGCTCAAAGCCTTTTTGTATGTCCATCTCTCCATCCATAAACCATTGATGAATCTCCTTTGCCAACCCTCCTCGCCCCTTTGACTCCACCTCTCCTGCAGTCCTCGCTGAACTCCACTGGTATTTAGGCGCTGATTTTGTTGCCTGGTCCCCACGACCTGTCTCCACCCCATTGTTCGTGTTGTCCCCGGTAATTGGCTCATCCTCGATCGCCTCGTACACCCCGTTTGTGCCATCGGACCCTTCATCGGCCGGGCTCAAAGGAGGCGCTCCGAGAGAGACACCTGCCATCACTGTTTCGGCGAAAAAAAAAAAAAACTCTCTCTCTCTCTCTCTCTCTCTCATCGTGCGTGTGCGAGAGCGTATTTGTGAAATTCTTTTAATCAGCGCGCGCGCGCTCGACGACCACTCACTGGGTACTCGACCCCTCCTCATGGACGCCCTCTGGTCTGCCACGGAACACTTTCTCAACTCAGTCGCCATCCTCACGCTCGGCCTCACCCTCGACTTTGTCGCGGCACCGCCGCTCGGCCACCCGGTGCCAATCTGCAGCCTTGCCACCGCCGACGGCTTCACAGCGCTCGCGGCGGCGTACGTCGTGCTTTCCGTGAGCCACCGCGCCGCGATCACGCCGTGGGGCAGCGGCGCTGTGCCGATGACCGCCCAGACCTTGGCGCTCTGTGTCATTGGGCTGCTGTGTGCGCCGCGTGTCGCACTCGGCGCCGTGGCAATCTACGTGTCGGTCGGCGTGGCTGCGGCGTGGCTCCCATCCACCTCTGGGCGCCGACGGCTCGAGGGCTACGGCCCGAGAATAACGGGCGCCGCCGCCGGCTTTGTCGTCGGCTTCCTGCCCGCCACCGCCCTCGTCGCAAAGTCCTCGGCCGGGAGAGCGAGGCCGCTGCCCTTCCAGCTTGGCCTTGCCGCCTCCGCCGCGGCGCACTGCGTCATCCTCGCGTGCGGCGCGGCGGGGCTGGCCGCGCGCAAGCGGCTCGGTGCGCGCGCCGTCCTCGACGCGGCGGTGAGGCCGTACCTGCCCGGGCTGCTGGTCAAGTCGGCGCTAGCGGCCGGGCTGGCGGCGGGCGCGGCGCCGGGGCGGGCGTGGGAGGCGATGTGTGGGGGGGAGGAGGCGTGAGAGTCTGGGGTGTGTTTATGTAGGTATCGTGTGTGGTGTGCGTTGTGCTCGCTCTCTGTATGCTTGTGAGCCGACTCTGCTCGCTCGACTAGGTCCAGCCCTGCCCCTGCGGGGTGGCACGGGGGTTGTGACATTTGGCGATTCCGCGGCTTACTGGGCCCCTGAGCCGCTCCCCGTGTGGAATTGTGGCCCAGGCATGGTACTGATAGTAAACGGTTCAGAACCGGCCAAACACAGGCTACAGCCCCACACACGCGCCCGCCAAAGCTCCTGGAGAGCCATGCGCGAGGGTTGTTGCACGAGTATATGGGCCAAAAGCGTCGAAAATGTCCCAAAATGCGTGTCTCGAGTTTGTTGCAGCCCCACAGCCGGCGCACGCTGCCAGGAAGCACCGCTCGCGTGTCGGCGGCACTCCCTGGCACCCAGTGAGTGCCGCGAACCGACCAGACCGAATAGGCTCGACGCCGCGCTCGCTGTGGGGCTGCAACAAACTCGCCGCCGAGCGTGCCACCGACGGCGTCCCGGCTGAGGTGATGGAGTGTGAGACCTGAGGCTGCGGAGGTGACGCCTGAGGTACCGGTCCGTGCACAGCGACTCAGCCGGCGACCGCCACGGGCTCAGACGAGACTTGTCGACTCGTTCCAGCTCAGCTTCACCGTGGTCCTCGGGCGTCTGTCGACGTCAGGACCACCCATACAGCTCGCGGGTTTGAGGTCGCAAGAGCCAAGATGGTGGCGTTTGGACATCCCAACCATCACACAAGACAGCCTGTAGGTGATGGCGGGACGGCGCAGTGTTTGTGGCACTCGGCAGTAGGCACCCGCGGCACGGCCCCGCTGTCGGCTCTCGCGGGCTGCGGAACCGGCCCCAGAAGGGGACGGTCCGGGCGAGTGTGGCAGCTCCTGCGCTAGTATGGGCACCATCTATCACAACACTACTGACCCTGGCCATTAGAGCTGCCAGGGATAGCGTCAGGAGCCGGTAGGAGTCAAAACCCCTCATATTTGAGACATCGTGGCCCCCAGATATACGGGGTGTGGACCCTGAGTTGACCAGGGGTTGTGCGCTGGGCCCTCCTGCTCGGCTTTAGCCAGTAGACAAGTCTTGTCATCAACAGAGTAGAAGGATCTGACCTCGGGGCCGATGTGACCAAGCGCTGGTAGCGTGGTTTAACCTCACACCCATGGTCTCACAGTGTGCCGGCAGTCGCCGAGCAGTGTCGCTCACACAAGCCGCAGCACAAGTGACTGAGGGCCAGTGAGGGCGAGCCCATCGCTGTCACAGCTGTGGCAGCCGCACAGTAGGCTGTGTCAACTGTGCAGAGTGTGTGAGCAGCAGAGGAGCTGCTCTCCAGGCTTCAGGCGCAAAGAGCTGCATGCCACCGAAAGCGCTGTCGAGGTTCGCCGAGCGCGGCGCAGGTTGGAGGACGCCGTCACCGACGAGCGCGTTGGACTTTTCACTCCGGACAAAGACGGGTACACGCACACGAGCCGCGGTCGTATACCCGTCTTAGCGGCGAGGCGCGGGACCGTCTGTGGCGAAGTGGGTCGCGTCCTCCGATTTCCTCAACTCACGGTCCGCTCCCTCTACTCGTGCAACAACCCGCGAGTGACGCGCGCCCTGCATAAGCCGCGAGAGTGTGGCATCTCAGAGGCAGGACAAGGAGATTACTTAGGCCCTTAGGCCCTTACTACACGGAAAAAGTAGCTCTATAGCTGAGACGGCCGGAACGAATGTGTAAGCTGTAACGCCACAAGGCCACTACGGAATGCGCATGCGTTGACGATATGTGAGTGCGATCGTTGAAGAGCGGGTTCAGCCGTACGTGCGAGCGCCGGCTAAAGCGCTCAAGGGAGAGAGTGTGGACCAAGGTCGTACTGCTGTGCCCTTAGCTGTGCCCGCCGCGTTGATTGGACGGCAAGGCACAGGCGGCTGGGCGAGGCGGCCGTGTGTGTGCTGGAGAGTTGGAGGGAGGGGGAGCTGTGGTTCTGGAAGAGAGAGGAGGAGAGAGGCTGGAGAGCTGGGGGGGAAGGGGGGGGGGAGAGCTTGGAGAGAGCTTGGAGAGAGAGAGAGCGAGAGAGAGAGAGAGAGCTGGGAGAGAGCTGGGAGAGAGCTGAGAGGAGGAGAGCGGGGGCGACGGGCGAGGCGGCCTCGAGAGCCAGCGGCGCCTCAGAAGCCTCGGAAGCCTCAGAAACCGCGGAAGTAGCGCGTCGACGACCTACCGCAAAGAGAAATCGCGATGAGCACACGTCGCGGCTGCCCATCGCCGAGGCTGCGAGTCGATGGCCAGCGCTGGTTCGACGGCCCGACCGTCCGCTCAACCTGTTCACGGCTGCAGGTGTGAGGAGACGCTGTTCGCGGCGGGGGAGGAGGGGGAGGTGGCCCGCGCGGGGCACCATGCTAGCGAATCGGCGTGCGTATGTGGTTGGTTCGACAGCCGACATGCCGCCTGCAGGAAGGTTCCGAGGAGGTGCAGGGAAGGGGCCGGGAAGGGGGAGGGCTCTAGCGGACACATGCCGCCTGCGAAGCAGCAGCGGCAGCAGAGGAGCAGCTTTGCGCACCGCTCGAGCCGCTTGCCCCAGTCCCAGGACTGGAGGAGGTCGATGATGGCGAAGTAGTAGACCGCGCCCGGGTCGGCGGTCGGGTCGGCGGAGAAGGCGAGCGGGCCTGGGGGGGAAGAGTCCGGGAGAGTTCCGAGAAGGTTCCGGGGGGTTCCGAGAAGGTTCGGAGAAGGCGAGCGGGCCTGGGGGGAGGAGAATCCGAGAAGGTTCCGAGAAGGTTCCGAGAAGGTTCCGGGGAGGTAACGAGAAAGCGACGGAGAGCGAGCCTCGCAGCCGCTTCTCGCTGACGGAGCCTAATAAATTAATTAATATAATTGGCATGTTAATTAACTAGACCAGCCGCTTCTCGCTGACGGAGCCGGCTCGCGAGCGCGCGGGGGCGCCGACCTGCTGCGGCGGCGGCAGCCGCAAGGCGGAGGAGGCGGAGGCGAAGGGCGAGCCTGATTCGAAAAAGACAACTCCGTCTACCCCAGGAAGGAGGAGCACGCGGCGGAGGAGGCGGGGCGAGCCGGCGCGGGCGGGGCTGTCTGCGGCGAAGTGCGTCGGCTCGAGGTCGTGCGCCTGTCCAGAGCGGGGGCGGGTGGGGAGAGGGGGGGGC